TAAATCCTGCAAATTTAAAATTTATAAAACTAGAAAATACTCATTTTTAGATATTTAGAAGTATTTTTGAACAAATATATCAATTATAATTCAATAAAAATTTCAAAAATAGTGAGAATTTTCCAGATCAATCACAAAGATGTAATATAATATCAAGTAATTTTTCAGAATTTTCCTCAAAGAATATGATTTTTAAAAAAACAATAGATAAAAATACAAATGAAATATATTTAAAATTCACGAAAAAGGAAAATAAGAGTGCAGACCTCAAGATGACATCAGCATCTGACGAATGCAAATCGAACAAAAATAGAGTTCTGTCGAGCGATTCTTACGTAAGTGATTACAGATGATTTAATTGATCAAACTAAGATCTGTAAAAGTCGAAAGAATCGTAATTTAATAAAATATAGTTTGGTAAATTTAAATCACACAAATTATCACTAAATGAAGCAAAAATTAAGTTGAAAGTACAAAATTGAATTCCGACATCACGGTGGCAATGCGTTAATAATACGTCAGAATCCTAAACGTTTGGAAAGATTGTCACGTAGTATCCATGGCCTCAAAGGCTCTCTTTGAATAAGGATAACGTAGACAATCTCTGGATCTTCTTGTGAAGTCTAGATATCGATGAAACAGATCATCGAATCGTCTCCAACGACTATCACCCGGTAGAGCGAAAAAACGACGACTTTGCGGCTCTCCGATGGTTGTCACATGATGGAGAGGAGTTAGAAGGAGGTGGAGCACGTGTCAGAGAGCTTCATCCTTAGGTTTGCATAACAAGAGGAGGCTCTTCATTGCATCCAGTACGCTCTCAAGAGGTGGTGACTTGTCTCCTAGTGGATCGTCCTCTTTCCAACGACAACTTGTTCATCAATCAATTAGAGATGCTTTACTTGATGAATTCGCAATCTGTTTTTCACGAATCGTTCAACAATTTTTGTAACAATGCTCCGTGAATCACGTTGACTAGATTTTTGTTGATGATTATGCGATTCATCGATGATCTGCAAGAAAGTCATGATTTAATCAGATAAAAGTACAAATTTTTGGCTCTCGTAAGATTCAAACCCACGTCGGTTGCCCATCTATAAGAGAGAGTTTGAAATAAGTAATCTAATGTCCTTATAAAGTGACGTCATTATGGTATATCTCTATTTTAACTAAGGGGAATTTTAGGTATTAAAATAAATAAAACTATTCCAAGAAAGGTGTGACACGAGTTTAGTCCCACATCAGTTGTACATTGAAGTTTTGGGCAAATATATAGTAATATCACATTTTCAAGTAATGAGTCCATTTCTCCCATGTGTACGACCACTCTTTGTCCTATAGCCGATTGGCCACTAGTGCCATGGAAGGGGAGTGGTGCACACATGCCCCTATCGGTCCATAGCTGCTCAAGCCTCTGCTCGCAGCTCCCTCTAACTACGCTTTCAACCTGCTTTCAGGCCCGGCTGGCCGGCGGGTCCCCCCTTTTTTCTATTTTTTTATTTTCTTTTTCTTCATTTGTCTCAAAAATAGGACTAAAAAAATCATATAAATTCATATAAAATCACATAATTAGTCAAAAATTCAAATTAATCAACTAAAAACTATTTTTCCTAATTTAACATAAATATAAGTCTATTTATCATGAGTTAAGGATAAAACTATATTATTTATTAATTATTAACTCATGATAATGAAGATTTATCAATAATTAATTTTTTATTTAATCACTCAAGAGAGATGAACCTTTTAATCAATTGTTGGTCACCTAGTGCCAAAAATGTATAAGATAATGTCAAATGAAGCTCTCTAAGAGCTAGGCTTAGTAATCAATAGATGTGAGTGTTGAATGATTGGTTTAGGAAATCCAAGAATAGAGACACTTTTGGAGAGTGGAAGTAGACAAGGTGTTGAACAACTTCAAAAATCTTATAGTACTTTAGATTTAGAGTCCAGAAATCCTTGGATCTAGTATCAAAGAAAAGAGTTCAAAGGTCTAAGAATAGTTGACCCCCCTTCCTGATCTAGGTGCAACCTACTCTAAGTGCAGCTTAGTTATTGACTTTACTTTCTTGAGTAAGTTGCACTTAGAGTGAGTAAATCATCAAAAATATTTAGCAAGCAAAATCATTTATGGAAAAATTCCACCATTTTTGAAGTCACTAAAATACCTTTTCATACATTGTCATCATCATAACATATTAGCCCCACCAAAGCCTTTATTGATCTTTTCATCTAATCATATATTCATTTTGTTCTCCTAGATTTAGATCTTAAAGACATCAAAAAAATTGAAGTCGTTCACCCCCTTGTCAACTCCAACTTACAAAGAACACCTAGTTCTTGGTTTGCACTAATTTCTTAACGTACATTTGTTGATTAGAAGAGCTCAACTCCCTTAGAGTTTTCAACTAAAACTCTCACTCGATTCACAATTGATTTTATGTGTCAGCTCCCTTAGTGTGAGACGAAAAGTATAATCATATGTTTGTCAAAAAGAAATAAGAAAAAAATATATTTACATCAGTTTAAAGATATTGATGAAGAGTTGAATTACAGTCAAAATTTAATGAAGAGGAAACTAAATTTTTCTTCAATTTGTTCTTTACATTCACATCTTGAGGCTATTAGAATGTTGAAGATATTGTTGCAACAATCAAGTTGAGGAGAATTTATTTCTGATTAAAATTCGTTATCAATTCATTTTCTTCTCATTGTTGAATTAAGCTTGAAACTATGCTCAAATGTTTATATAAAACTCTATAAAAATATTAGTGCAAGATCTGGGATGTAGGGTAGTCAAGGAAAATCATTCAAGAGTCATTAGTTGTTGGGAAATGGCTAGATATCTAGAGAATTTTCTTTTCTAAAGAACAATCATCTTGATTAGACCCATAAAGTAACCACTAAGCAATCTACATCTATACCGATTAAATAGTACTAGATAATAATACTTTTTCATTGATAATGTTAGTAGATAGATCTCAAACAAAAGTAATAGCTTTGACTTCATTTAAATCCAAATTAACTCAAATAAAATGTAGATATTAAGTAAACTCAACTAATTTTATATTAGTATACAACAATAATACTTTGGTAACTTCTATTATTTCTTAATTAGTATTCAATCAATATTCACATTATCAATAATATAGTGAGGATGAAGTTAACATATTTATATTATAATCAATTCGTAACACTCTTTTTAAATGATAGGAAACTAGAGTAATGTTTTAACTATCATCTGAATATTTTAGTATGAGAATTTGAATATGTTTGCAATAACCAAATCATTACTTTAAAACAGTGCCATTTTTCATAATTTTCTATAAGTACAAAAGTTCTGAGAAAAGTAATGATTTCTCACTGATGCCTAATACATATTTTATATTTTAAATTATGAGTCTCTAACATTGTCATCAAACTAACATCTGAACACTTCACAAGAATAAAATATATTTTCAATATATTTTAGAATAACATATTTCAACTGTGTGCAAATGTTCACCCTATAAAGAAATGTTTCAAAATTTTAATCATAATCTTTGTTTTTATTATGTATGTTTGCCATCATCAAAACCTTTCAAGACAATAAAGGCCTCTTGAATCCACTACATTCAACACTCTTAAGTCAACATAGTGGGTCGATCTTGGTTGTGGCTTGCAACTCAGGAATAGATTGCAAATTATAAGGAATTTCAAATATTAAAATTCACCCACTATTTTGTTTTCTATCTTATCCACAAAAATTTATTATGTTGAATTCTAAATGACAGAAAAAGTAGAATACCTGTAGAACTAGACCAGATCACTTAAATTCTTAAAATTTAATTTAATTATTTTCCTAAATAATATTTTATAAATAGAAACAGAATTTACATAAAATAGTTCATCTTCTTCATGTAGATTGCTCTCTAATTGGGCTCTTGGGTCATTGGGGAAAGGGATATTCTCAAACTTGGCATAAAAAAAAAATTATTGTTTATTGCACATGTTATAATGTTAGGGTTAGCTTTTAACTCTGGTGATATGCAGATGGATGAGTTTGTAGTTTAGAAAATTGTCATAGTTTGGTGTTCAAGAGCCAACAATCTAGTTTGTATGTACTTTGTGCTAAACGACATTAAAAAGCTTAGGATTGAAGTCCTATTTACCTATCAAATCGACTATTGAAGAATCAATTAAAAATTAATTTCCTTCTTTGCTGCCTCTTTAGGGGTACCAATCAATTATTAGCCACAAATTGGTTTGTTTAATATTTTTCTCATTTTGGTGGATTTTTAAATAAAAAGCAAACAAATACCGATCTTTGGTGAGGTGAAAAATTGGAAGGGCACATGCTCTGATAATATTAAGAACCAGGATTTGTACTTTGACTCCAGAATTTCGGAAGAAATCAATTATCTCAGCCTAACAATTATATTTCCTTCTTCAAATAAATATATGTAGTAAATGCATTCTTTAATTTTATTCTCCTTCTAGTCTATAAGCACTTATAGATCTTATGATTATTTTAGTTGTCACAATTAGTTGGAAAGGAGACATCAAATATCATGAGAATAGACAAAAACATAGCTGTTAGAATAATATTTATATCGATCATTAGGTAACTGGTATTGTTGCTCCCGCTTTTCTCTCTCCAGAGCTGTGCGAATTATACATCTAATATTTGTTTACTTTGAGGCACGTGCTAGGAATAAAACCGGGTGTCGGCAACTCACAAACGTGAGTTGTCAACGGTTAAAAAAAAGGAAGCATTGACCAGATCAATCCTCTCCAACAATAGAAATTGCCAACCGACGAGCGGTTCTCGAAGGAACCGCGACTACTCCTTACGCGTGTCCAAGGAGGTGGGGGTAACCTTCGAACCCTCCATCTCTCCTCCCTCCCCCAGCGCCACAGGCGATGCCACCCCATGCAACCACGGCGTGCTCCCTTCTCAGTATTTTCTCTTCATCATCTCCCCTGCTACATCCCCACCCTCTCCCCCACTCCCTCCCACAATGGAGGAGAGGGTCCCCCCACCACCGCCACCGCCGCCGCCACTGCCGTCGCCCCCTCAGTCCAATGGCCAGACCTCCCGTGTCTCCAGCACCTACATCGTCCAGGTCCCCAAGGACCAGATCTACCGGGTCCCCGCACCCGAGATTGCCTACCTCGCCGAGCGCTACCAGAAGCCCCGCGGCGGCGAACAGGTCAGCCGGCCATGGTTTACGTGCGTTTCGCGATGCCTCGTCGTCCTCTTCATCGTCGTCCTTTCCCTTGTTGTCGCCGTTGCTGTCTTTTACCTGGTCGTAAGGCCCGCTTTCCCCACCTTCTCTGTCGAGAGCCTCCACACCATCAACTCCAGCCGCCATGACCGTCTGTCGGTGCACTACGCCGTCGCCATAAGGATACGGAACCCCAGCGTCCATATGGGTCTCTCCTACGAGAGAGGCGGCACCGCCGTCTTATCTAACAGCAATGGTAACATCGCAACGGGGAAGACACCGAGCTTTTACCAGAGCTCCGGGGAGATGAGGATAATCTTCCTCGACTTCTCCGGCCCTGCCCAGGTGAATAAGAGTTTCTATAGTCCAAGAACAAAGGTTGGCGTTTCCCTCTCTCTCTCGTTGAAGTTCCCGATGAGGATGAAGGTGGGGGCTGTTGAGAGCATGGCTATTGAAGTCGACGTCTGGTGCAGTTTTAGTCTGAGCTCTCTGGTGAAGGAGTCAAAGGTAATGCGCCAAAGCTGTTACTTCGACCCGTAGCCCAACATAATGTCGTAGAGCAACTTGGGAGCTCGGAAGTACATTTCCACAAGTTCTCTCTCCCCGTACGGGGTATCAGTGCAACAACTAGTTTATGATCAGACGGTGGACTCTTGTCATTTGTTCTTCTTTTTAAGCCCGAGAGGAGGTGAATCAATTTGAAAAGGTTTAGATAGAAAGGCATAATAAGGGTGACATTGGAGTTCAACCAGGCTTTCCGCAAAGAGCTTCAAAGTTCATATTTTAGCTAAATAAAAAGTCATCATGAATAATCTTGCGTTTAAGTAGGACGATATCCACTTGCAAGCTATTTTGCTTGGAAAATAGTTTAGTACTTAAAAAGCAGACATTTTCACAATGAATAAACATTAATCACTTCCACTTGTTGTTTGCAACGTGATATAAACTACAGTTTTTTTTCAGAAACACTGAATGATAGAGTTAGCAATGTTATGATAAACTATTATCAACTTCTGATTCATAATGTTATACCTAAAGAATGTTCTTCACACGCACTCTACTGAAGTGGGTCATTTTACTAAAAGAATGAATGTATAAAAAGTGCATGCTTCAGAATAAATATTCTAGATCCTCTTAATAGTTGATGTGCCTGACACTGTTAGCCTAGATAAGTAACAAAATATGAAAATGAATACTGAAAAGTGTGATCCTATATATTCCGATTTGTTGTAAATTGCAGTCAAATAAATTCATTATTAGAAATGAGGTACTAACTTTACTACAATAGGCAATGATGATATTGAGCATCCCAAAAATGATGTGGTTAAAGAGTAACAATAAATCAAATGGAAAATAAATCATTATAAGATGAAATTTCGACAAAGTTTGCATAGAAAGACATAAATATCAATATGACATGAAATTTAATTCAATTAATAGCCTAGATTCTATATTTTATGGTTTAGGGTTTATTTTTCCTTTAAGTGACACATGCATGAAAAATGTCAACATTTTCTTGTTCTATCCAGCAAAATGTTGTATAAAATGTATTTGTAAATTTTACCCATGATTTGTAGAGTCATGAGTGCGGCTGAACTGAAAATAGTGTGGCCCTCAAAAATGGTGCATGTGAAAGCACTGTAACTTGTGGTAATAGCAAGTAGTCATAAATATCATTCATGTGACAACGATATCAACACTTTATTGTGGGGTCTCAAACCTTAATTAAAAACGATAAATGCAGTAAGGAAAGTTGATATATGATGGCCACAGAGAACAACATTATAAATTCAGACATTTATTAATATTTTCATTCAAAATCATTAAGGAATCACTCATGTTTCTCAGTTAATGAAGTTCAGAAAATGTATTTTACAAAATTAGTATTCATTAACAGTATGCATAAATTAAAAAAGAGACAACAACTAGGATAGATTGTCAAGATGCTCTGATTTTTTTAGTGTCTTTGGCTGAGTAGATGGAATAAGCCAGATAAATCATATTTTTAAAGAAGTTAAACAATTAGAGATATAAGTTTTGTTTTTGGGAAGAACATGGAGGCCAAAATTGAGTCCAAAAAATGGAGGTCCATTTTCATTCAAGTCTGTTCTATCCAACTATAATAGTACCAAGTTGAATTTAATTAGTATAGTGACAAAAAAACTGAACATTGAACAAGAAATGCTGAGTATGAAGTGAAGCGGATCTAGATGGATAATACCCACTCAAAATCAGACATGATGTAGAAATGCTCAGATAAATTCATCAAAAATCTTCAATCAAGAAGTATATGAGATTAAATCATTCCCATGGAAGGCTGACCAAGATAAAATATTATTAATCATGGTAGATGAGGAGCTACCACAAGATAGTGCCTTAGGGCTGCTCGTTTCTAAAAATGGGAGAGATCATGGATGAGATTGTATTTCGCCAAAATTTAGTAAAATAATGCAAAACCAACATCAAACTCAGAACGATTGCATAATGAACAAATAACTTCAATCAGAGATTTGAGACAGTGAAGACGAAAGGAGGCGTTTTGTAGTTCACCCATACAAGCAAGCACAATTGAGCACAAATAGATGTCACAGGCATAGGTCCCACCTGTGGTCTAGCCAGCTGGCGGGCAAATAAGCATGGATGAACTCAAATGAGTGTTTTGGCCATGGGTCATCTCTGTGGGCAAGCCATTTGGCAAATATTAGTATATTTCTATAACCGGGTATGCTGGATGGCTATAAAGAGAAAGCTGTGTGGGCGACAAGGATGTTGATGATAATGAAGGATAATGGAGGAAATTAATCTAAGGTATCTAATGAGGGAAAAATCCATGAGCCTCCTACATTTAACCTTAAAATAAATGATGAAAAAAGCTTCAATTGACACCAGCTTAAGACCGAAATTTGACTGAGTTTGTCTTACTCTCAACCCATAAGGATGTTGTGAATGTTCTTTGAGGAAGAAGATACAGCTATTTAAGTTTAGAAAACAATCCATCAAAAGTAGAGGGAGGAAACTAACGCAATGTACAAAATAGTTTCTTATGGTTCACCATAAACTATAATTACTCTCCAAACAGGTCCCAGCACCATGGGTTCTACTTATCTGTTTTTTGAAAAACTCCATACCAGCTCAATTGTCTCTATTACATGAAGACACAATTTATAACTCCATTCCAATAAAAATAAAATAAAAATTAATGCTCTTAGCTGTTGGATAGAGTTTATAATCCTACTCATGAAGCTAGCTAATAGTCAGCTAAGATGAAATTATCCTGCCTCAAAGGCTTATGATAGTAGTAGATACAAAATAGAGACAAAAAGTTCAATCATCCAAAAATACGTTGTTGCACATAGTGAGAAAAGATCTAATCATAGCCTTCATCTGATAATATAAGTAAAAAAAAATTAAATTACTCAAAGATAATAACAGTCTTCAATCATGATTACAATTAGAAGGTTGCCAATGAATAATCATTTAGTGTTCTAGAGTCCTCTTTTATATTATTGTTGGTTGAAGTTCTTCTTCACAATGCTTCTGATGTGCACTTGTCATTGTGTTTAAATACATATTATCTAATAATATTTATAACTAAGACTTAATAAAATATTAGTATAAAAGTAAGTCTCAAGTTGAACACAGGGAGATTAAATAATCCATCGTGAAAACTAATTTAGTTTATATATAAAGTGATTTAAATATTTTATTAATATTTAAAAATAAAAATAAAATAGAAGGGTGAGATAGAAGAATAAAGGAATGGAAGAAGAGAAAAGGAAGAAAGAGAGAAAGAAATCTCTTGCAAAAGGGAGAGAAAGAGAGAGGAGAAGAAAAAGCCCACACGAGAGAGAGAGGATGAGATCTCTAGCAAAAGGGAGAGAAAGAAAGAAGAGAGAAATCTCACATGAGATGGAGAGAGAGAGAGAGAGAAAGAGAAGGAGAGAGAGGGAGATCAATCAAGAGAGAGAGAGAGAAAGGGAGAGATCTCATGAGAGATGGAGAGAGAAGAGAGGTGTCACGAGAGAGGAAGAGAGAGAAATAAGACAAAAATAAAGAAACAGAGAAATATAATCAACTGATTTTCACGATGACTATTATTCTCGGACAAATGTGTGCTCGAAGATTCACACACATGACATGAGGTCAGCTGTGAATGTCTCCAATTTATTTTAACTATTTAAAATGCTCTTTAATCAACTTTTAATCTCAGTGATTTCACGTTTGAAAAGAGAAAAATACTCGTTATTCATGAAACACCGACAACATGAATATGTCAAGATCCGACTATGAAAATCAATAGAAAATAAGTTGAAAACGTTCTTAGCTTGATCTCAAACAAACTTCTGAGGATTCAAAAGAAAAATAAAGATCATTCATCAAGTTTTGAATTAGTTATACTCATTTCAAGCGAAATATGCATAAAATAAAAATAACTTACTGTAAAATATAAATAAATGATAAAAGTAAGTGAGTAAATACTGAAAGTAAGAAATAAATCATTCCTCAAGTTTAGTCTGTTTCTTGGGCAACTGAAAACACCGATGTGGTGGCTTGGTTTTGTCCAAACATGCCACATTATGCTGAAAGTTGTAGAAGTATCATCCAAAAGTATTGCGCTGCTTACTAAAGAGATCCACTGAAAGAGGGGTCAACCATATTGTCACTATCATCTACAGTCAGGAAAGTAAGGAAGAAATTTGTCAATCGCTGAAAACGTCAATCGCGCGAAGGAAGGATAGATTGTCGTATTTGCAACTACCATCAAAACTTTAAAGATAATCAATAATATCAATTTAACCAGATAATAATCAATTATTATCTTTACATTCCTAATAGTGATACGTGTGAGAACTTAAGTTCTCAATATCATGGTGCTTTGGGAGTTGCTAGATCAAATATACTTGGTCACGTGGCGTGCAAAGTGATGTATCAACCCGCCACGAACTGCTGCCAATCCAAAACTTAAGTTCCTAGTACCATGGCGCCTCCTTAGCCATCGGGTCATCTTTTAAGGCCATGTGCATGTAGAGTAGTGTCAGATTTACAAACTACTGATGGATCACTTTACATATCTGGTATCGTGGTTGTTTGCTAGCCGTAGGATCTAGCTAATCTGATGATGTGGCTCATTAAATATTGTTGGATCACATTACACTCTAGATGGTTGTACTAAAATGAATGAAAATGATCAGTCTCACATTGGAAATATTTCGGCACATGAGCCGAATATAAATCAAAGCTATGCCCTCTAAGTATAGATCCCTTCTGGTGAAATAAATAATGTCTAGGACCATCTTGGGAGAAGACAAAAAGGTGTTCCACCCTCTCACATGCATGTATGTACGGATGCTCCTTGCCCCACAATTGGTTGGCCACTAGGACATGAAAGGGGAGTGACGCACACATGCACAGAGCAAGTCCTTTGCCACTCAAGCTCAGCTCGTGGCACCCCTAGTCTGGGTCTATCCACCCAACCACAACACCCCTCCGGGTCAATTGCTGAGTGTTGACTTGCCAATGGGCGAAACATTTTTGTATAT